CCACTGGGAATGCATAGGAGATAAGGGGAAGTGCACCCTCCATTAGCTCTAAGGAATGTCGTTTGGAAAGGTACAGAAGAAGGTACAGAAGAATCCTTGTCACGCCCTTCTCTAGGGGCTATGATAATGTGAGCAGGCATAAATGGGTCTCGGTGTCACAGGATCTCCAAGACATCCACAGGTGGTCGATAAAGAAGTCACAGCAGTCACGTGCAACATCTCCAAGAAAAGGATTTAAGCCAGGGCTTTGGGGGCTACAACACCACACTCACCTAGAGTGTAGGCCCACTCCCTGTCTGTGGGGGGTGAAGCTTTCTTAAATAAATCTTTTCTTTTCTCACCTCTGTGTGTTGCAATTCTTTGCATTTACTCGGGTCTCTGGGTTGCCAGCGTTCACCTCTGGCTTGCCATCCCCGGCGATGCTGCACCTCCCTGCACCTCTCCGCCCTCACCCTGTTCGTACCCTAACAACTACCCCATTTCACACATAAGAAAAATGAAGTACAGTTAATTTTTTTTTAATTTGCCTAAGTTCACATTGCTAATAAGTGGTAGAATCAGGACTCAAATCTAGGCAGTCTAGTCCAGAATCTGACTGTGCTGCTCTCTTCCAGGAAAAATGGGTCTTCTGTTGTGACACTTAAGGGATTCAGGATCTGAGAGGCTGAGCGTTGTGGCCCTACGGACACACTGTAGTGGCCTGAGTTCCCATAATCTCCTGGTCACATGTGTCATGAGAAGTCCTCGCCCCCGTCATCCTTTATCAAGTGCTCACAGGCACCACCCTGCCCATGCCACCAGTGGTCCTGGGCGCCTTCAGACAGAGCCCGCCAGAACGTTCATCTGGTCATGCCAGCCCATGTCAAAGGTTACTCTCTGGGAGGCAGAGACGGAGGATCGCTTGAGACCAGGAGTTCAAGACCAACCTGGATCACATAGCAAGACCCCCTGCCTCTACAAAACAAACAAAGACTTAGCCAGGCATGGTGGCATGCACCTGCAGTTACAGCTATTTGGGAGGCTGAGCAGGGAGGATTGCTTGAGCCCAGGAGTTCAAGGCTGAGCTATGATTGCACCACTGCATACCAGCCTGGGCAACAGAGTGAGGCCTTGTATCACTCTAAAAAAAGAAAAAAAAGGAGGCCACCCTGTCAACCCTAAGCTTTTGACTGCAGGTTAGTCTCAGCAAAGGACATCTGACCAGCATTTGGGACATGGAGGTAGGCCTGGGAGAGGCTCCTTGATCCTTGCCGTCTCTTGGGTGAGCCAGGTGTGACGCAGATCTGGAATTACCTCAAACCTAGCGGAAGCCAGACCCTCAGCCCCTCCTCCACCTGTTTGCAGGTCACACCCTCACTAGGGGTAGACCCCTCTCTCCAGCCTCTCCTTCCTTCCCCAAACTGTCCTCCGCCTTGGCTGCTGGAACCTGGGGACCATGGAGAGAGCTCCTGTTCCCAGCTTCCTGGGATGTTGGTGGGCAGCAAGGCGGGGCACCAAAGCTCTGCAGAGGGCAACCGAGGCCTGCAGAACGAATGACCACAGACATGGGGGAAGGAGGAGACGGGGCCCAGGGAGGCCACAGGCTGGATGATGTGATGCTAACAACCTGAGAGTTAGATGCAGAACAACAGCATCCCAGGCTGCCAGGTTACTCACTTTTCCATAGGGCCATTTGTCCTTTCTTAGTTATTGGTTCTTTGTATGTACTGATCCATCTTCTGTCTACTTTTTTCTTTCTTCCTTTTTTTTTTTAACCAACAGAGACTTGATATATTTTTAAGTCTTTAAGGACACAAGTGACAACTAAATGCATTTCCAATATAAAATGTTCAAAGATTATAGATAAAGCAAAGGTCCTGCTTGCCCACCCCCTGCCTTAGTCCCAGATTCCTCCTTATCAGTGTCAGTATTTGTGGGACAACCTCTGAGGGTTTCATACTCACATATTTTCATTTAGTTGATCTAGGTGTGGGGTTTTTTTGTTTGTCTGTTTGTTTTTGTTTAGTTTGTTTTAAACAGTCTGTACTGTATTTTTGTTCTAGGGGTTGTTTTTTACCATCTCATGACTTGTCTTGGAGTTCTATGTCAATACACAGAAATGAACCTTCTTCTTTTTAACAAATGCATATCATCCTACAGCATGGACCCACGTGTGTTTAACCTATCCCCTACAGTTAAGCATCACATTTTTCACTATAAACAAGGATGTGACAAATGGCCATGATTGCGCTTCCTCGTGCACCTACATGTTGGAGACCTTCTCCTGGACAGATTCCAAATAGTAGAACTGCTGAGTCATAGCAGCTGCCTTATTCTTCACAGGCCCTACTGAACTACCCTCTGAAACAGCAGAGTATTTAAAAGAGCCAATTTACATTACCAGCAGCAGTATTTAAAAGACCCAATTTTCCTAGTCCCTTTGCCTACTCCTGACATGACCAAACATTTTAATGTCTTGCAATCCAATGGGTGGAAAATGATGTCTTGTTGTTTTCATCTTTACTTGCCCAACTATTAATGATGTCAAGCATCTTTTCATATGTGCATTAGCCATTTGTACTTCCTCTTCCAAGAATACCTGTTGAAATCCTTCACTCACTTTTCCATAGGGCCATTTGTCCTTTCTTAGTTATTGGTTCTTTTTATGTACTGATCCATCTTCTGTCCACTTTGCACTACCAAACCTTTTCTCCCAGGCTGCTGCTCGCCTCTTAGCTTTGTTTTATGATTCTTCTGTCTATTTTGCTTTTACTGAACCTGAAAATGGAGTTTGGAAACCGGTGTAACCACAGGCCTTTCAGAAGACACTAATCATTCCCTCTCCTCTCCCCCAACTTGCTCTCCTGTGCCCTCATGAAGCACTTAGCTCTCTGCTCAAGTTACTGGTGACCGTCTGTGTTACTGTGTTCTGGAAGGTAGAGTCTTCATTCCCTCATTTATATATCTCCCTCGGGGCCCAGCACAGAGCCTTAAATGTTGTAGGTTCTGAAACCAAACTGAATTAAGGCCAACATTAAAAGCAGCACAAGACTTGATCCCAAATATGATTTCACTCAACTCCACTAAGCAGGTATCAGCGGCTTTTCTCCTTCCCAGAAACAGAAAACAAACTCAGAAGGCATGCAGGCTGGCTCGATGAAATATTAAGCGGCTGTCTCCAATGATGTTGCTGATGGTTTGTGTGGTTGTTACAGAGTCCAGGAGACAGGCAAAAAGGAAGGCGTGTGACCAAACCACAATCATTAGACCTCTGCTGTCTTCTTTGGGAAGGGTTTTAGTATTAAAAGGACATTTATTCTCATTAATGCAAAATTAAGGAGTTTTAAAAAGCTTTTACAACCTAAACTCCCTCTGAGAGGTCAGCTCTAACACCCTAAACGTCTTCTGCTCCTGTTATGCTTGGAGCCAAGCGGTTCCTAAGGTCCGGGGCGGCCTGACAACAGGCCAGCAAGAGGGAGGAGAGAAGGAAGGATGTGTATCGGCTTGCACAATGACCCAACCCCATCCTGGGAGTGATCAAAGGAGGCATCACTAGATACCAGTCCCACTAAGAGACAAGTCACCATGCACTTAGCCCTGGGGACCCTGAATCACTGATTCTAAAGGCAGAAAGGGGTGAATCCACTGTTCAAATTCTCTTACCTACATCTCCCAAAAGTAGCCATCCATCTTCAGCTTAAAACATCTGCAGTAAATGCTGATTTTGTTGGAGCTGAGTGACGGCTCCTATCATACTATTCTCCCTATTTTTGTATGTCTTGTTTTTTTTAAGCTTTTTTTAATGCCCACCATAACAGGGAGCCCACAACTTCCTACAGAAGCCCAAGCCTCTCGGACATTCTGTTGGGAAGTCTCTGTTTTCACTGAGTCATTGTGCTCTCCTGTAGCTCTGGTTCCCCCAGAGGACTTTAAAAGCTTAGTGTCTGGCCGGGCTCAGCGGCTCAGCCTGTAATCCCACATTTTGGGAGGCTAAGGTGTGTACATTGCCCGAGCCAGCGGGTTCGAGACCCACCTGGGCAACTTGGCAAGACCTCATCTCTACAATAAATCAAAAAATTAGCCGGGCGTGGTAGTGCGCGGCTGTAGTTCCAGCTACTTGGAAGACTGAGGCAGAAGGATCGCTGGAGCCCAGCAGGTTGAGGCTGCAGTGGCCGGGAGCAGCCACTGCACTCCAGTCTGGGCAACAGAGTGAGACTCCAACTCAAAAAAAAAAGCTTAGTATCTAAAGTTAGACAGACCTGGGTTCCAAAGCTGAGCTCACTTGCTGAAATATGACTCTGAACATATTATTCTAATCTCCCTGAACCTCAACTTCTCACTGCACAATGGTGACAATAGTGTCATCTATGTCGTAAGTTTGTTGGGAAAGTTCCATGAGATCATGCCTGGCACCTGGCGTGTGAAGTGTTCTTTGTCATTTTACTGGCTTAGTTCTCCTCCTGGGGGCCAAACAGAACAGGTCACCCACCTCTGCACTGTGAAAGACCTTCACAAGACAAACAATGCTTAGCAAAGGAGCCCATAAAAAGGATATGACCTGGAATTTAAAAGACCACAAGTATCTGTGATGATGTAAACAAGAAAAACAATGCCCAAATGCAAAAGAGCTCCCTCTGTGTCTTGGAATCTCCTATGATTACGGCTAATCTCTTGGTTGTCTGCACTTGTGTTCTGAGACACTGACATGAATAAAGAGAAAGCTGTGGAACATTGAGTCTGCTGAATCTTACAGAAGAATCCAAGAAAGCTCACTCTCTCCCCTCTGCCTGTTGGTGGATAATGTGCTGATGATGTGGGTACCTCACTTATATTCATTACACATTTCTACAAGACAAGAGGTACACAAAATACAAGAGGCAGCGTGTGTGATTCCATTCTAAGGAGCAAGATTCTATTCCCACTGCAGGATAACCTGGCCTTCAAAGAGAGGGCATGGCACACATTTCTAGTTCCCTGAGTGACAGTTACCAGCGTGAGATCACGCCCTGAGCCCAGCATACCTTGGCCTGTTTTCCAAAACACGACTCCATGCATCTGTCCTGACACTCCGATGCCCCCGACATTCCGGAGCAGCTGCCGAGGAAGAGCAGCAAGGCACTTGTTTAGGGCTTGGATGATTCTGCTCACATCCTGCTCCCGCCCCTGAAAACAGACAGGACATGTTGGGTGGAGGCAGACACACGGGCAGGGGAGTGGGGCAGGCCTCCAAGGATCTTCTGGGTGGTGGCTGCCCAATGAATTCCAGCCTCAGGGAAGAGATATGGGACTGAGGGTTTCCCACCACCTCCAGCGGGGCCTGGAGTAGGGATGTGACGGGCAAGGACCCACTCCCTGCCTTCTCAGATGAGGCACTGCTGCAGGTGACGTGCTGCCATGACCCAGGCTCTGCCCTCCACCAGGGTCTGAGTTGCTCAGTGCTTTAAATAGAGGAAATTAGGGAAAGGTCTTTCAGGAGGCACAGAGAGCAGTGGAGCTGGGGACCACTGCAGGGAGGAGCCTGACAGGAGAGGTGTGGTCAAGAAAGGTCTAAGGGACTAAAGCACCTTAGGGTGAACCCTGGTGCTTTCATCTATCTGGCAAGCATTTCCTGGGTGTCATGAGGATCAGGCCCTGGACTTTAAAACCAAAGTCCCCAGAGGGAAGGCAGCCAAGGATGATGCGTAGGAACCTGTGGGGCACAGTGCCCATGGGGTCGGGCTGTGTGAGGGGTGGTAGGAGAGGAGGCTGGAAGTGACCGGAGGCTAGGGCCTAATCAGTCAGTGGGGGTCCCTGCGCAAAGGGCTCTTCCTAAAGGTCATGGGGAGTTTCTGGGGCTTTCTGAATGGAAGAGCATTGTTATCAGAGCTGTGTTTTCAGAAGATGAACTGGGCAATGGTATAAGCTACATAGAGTGAGACTGTTAGTGGGAAAAGATTTCCCAGGGGGGAGGAAAGAGACTGAAGAAAGTCAGGACCATTTTTTCCTGATTAGCTTTTTCTTCTGACTTCTTTCCTCCTAAAAAGTCTCTAGGCCAAGTAACCTTGACAAAGTCATGAGAGATAAGCAGAATTTAATCCAATATCATATTGATGTCTGTAAGAGTCAAGTGGTCCTAAGAAACAAGACTATGAAAAGAATGCAGGATTTGGACAACTGCAAAGGTCTTCAGGGTCATGAGAGGATGCATTTTGATAGCTCAGAGATAAAGAAATACCTAGTCCAACCAAGTCCTCTATCCAAATGGGTGGGAGTTACTGATCTGACTTCAAAAGCAGGCAACAACATGAAATAAACCTAAGCCATCTGGGCTCTCTGACCTCTTCCTTTAAATTAAGTCCCTGTTCAAGATTATAAATAGCATCTCAGGTTCCCATTCCATTCCAGTAGATGCCTCTAATCAGTAAGACATCCCAATAAGCTAAGAAGGCCACCACTTAGGAAATCAATCCAGATGACATAATTGTTTCCTTGGTGAAAAAGTAAATTTCAAAAGTGAATGATTAAGAATTAAATATATTCATGTTTAAAAGAATCATATCTATGCTATTAACATTTATGCTTAAGGAATCTTTGAATATTTAGTATTTCAAGTAAATTTAAATGTTTAAGAGAATCTGGCCTAGGTGACCTCTGTAGCTGCAATCCAAAATGTGAAATTGAGGCTGGCTACAGTGACTCACACCTGTAATCCCCACAGTTTGGGTGGCTAAGGCATAACAATAAAATGTGAAATTGAATAATTGTTCTAGATTTGTGGTTATATGTTCAAATCTCACTACATTTACAAAAGAATTTGAAACATAAGAATATGTAAGGTTTACATAGGTCTACTTTTTTTTTTTTTGAGTTGGAGTCTCACTCAGTCACCCAGACTGGAGTGCAGTGGCTGCTTCCCGGCCACCGCAGCCTCGACCTGCTGGGCTCTGGCGATCCTTCCCCCTCAGCCTTCCAAATAGTTGGAACTACAGGCGTGTGCTACCCCGCCCGGCTAATTTTTTTGATTTTTATTGTAGAGATGAGGTCTCGTCAAGTTGCCCAGGCAGGTCTTGAACCCGCAGGCTCAGGTAATTCACTCACCTCAGCCTCCCAAGGCACAGGATTACAGGCTGAGCCACCAAGCCCGGCCTTTTTTTTTTCTTTTGTTTTTTTTTTTTTTAAAGAGACAGAGTCTTGCTCTTTGGCCCAGGCTAGAGTGCAGTAGCAAAGTTATAGCACACTGCAGCCTTAAACTCCTGAGCTCAAGCAATCCTCGTCTCAGCCTCCTAAGTAGCTGGAACTACAGGCATGCACCACCATGCCTGGCTGAATTTTTTTTTTTTTTTTTTTTGGTAGTGACAGGGTCTCAAATGCTGCCCAGGCTGGCCTCAAACTCCTAGCCTCAAGCAACCCTCCCTCCTCGGCCTCCCAAAGTGCTGTGATTACATATTAAAACATGAGCTACTGCACTCGGCCCGATTAATTTATTTAATTTATAAGAATTTCTTAAGTATTCTGAAAAGATTTAAGTCAGACAATTGCAGTACCTAAATGAAAAAAATACGTGAAATGTATAACCGCAGTTTAAAACATGTAAAGTATTTAATTAACTAAAAAGAGATTAAGTATTATTCAAAGGTCCTCAAAAATAATAATTAAGGGCCAGGCTCGGTGGCTCAGCCTGTAATCCCAGCACTTTGGGAGGCCGAGGCGAGAGGATTGACTGAGCCTGCAAGTTTGAGACCAGCCCGGGCAACTTGGTGAGACCTCATCTCTACAATAAATCAAAAATTAGCCGGGTGTGGTAGCACACACCTGTAGTTCCAGCTACTTGGAAGGCTGAGGTGGGAAGGATCGCCAGAGCCCAGCAGGTCGATGCTGAAGTGGCCGTGAGGGTGCTACTGCACTCCAGCCGGGGTGACGGAATGAGACTCCAACTCAAAATAATAATAATAATAATAGTTAAGGCCAGGTGTGGTGGCTCTTGCCTATAATCCCAGCACTTTGGGAGGCCAAGGCAAGAAGACTGACTGAACCCAGGAGTTTGAGACCAGCCTGGGCAACATAACAAAACCTCATCTCTACAAAAAAAAAATCAAAATATTAGCTGGGCATGGTGGTGCATGCCGGTAGTCCCAGCTACTTGGGAGGTTGAGGTTAGAGGATCACCTGAGCCTAAGAGGTCAAAGCTGTGCTGAGCAAGCCATGATTGTGCCACTGTGCTCCAGCCTAGGCCACAGAGTGAGACCCTGAGTCAAAAAATAATAGTTAAAATGTCAGACTTAGAATAAGCTCTATAAGCTAAACTTCAGAGTTTAGGTAAGAATGAGGGTTCTAAATTTCATAAATAGAACAGTTACTGTGATTTCATCCAAAGTAAACTTTTCATGGCATACAAAAATCACCTGAAGGAACAAAATAAACTTCTATTTCACAACTAGAAGCATCCGTGGAAAGTTCAGATGAAAAGAAGGGGAAGAGAGATGTGACTCTGCTTTTAATAAATGTCTGTTCTTTGGGGAACTGAAAAAGCTATGGTCTTAGAAAAGCATCCGAAGGCTGGGTTCTCAGGCCCACGGCGCCCATCCAGAGAGTGCAGCCTTCCCCGCCTCAGAATAAACTTTTCACTTGCCTGTCAGACTGCTGGCCCTGGTCAGGGGCAGTTCTCCAAGGAACAGAAAGAAGGAAGGCAAAGAGCAGTGAGATGGGAACAGGAGTAGAGACGGAGTACTGAGTATGGTCCCGAGGAGGCAGTCCCAGGTCCTGACAGGGAGACACAACAGCCAAGAGGAAGCAATGGGCAAGAGGGGCACAGAAAAGGTATGCGACTATGCATGGTCCCCAGAAAGGAAGAAAGAAGACAAGGGTGTGGGATGGGAGGAAGAAGGAGGCTGGGAAGAGACATTTGTTTAGATCTGCACTGTCCAATCCTGCAGTCATTAGCCACATATGCCTAGTCTGAATTGAAATGTGAAATGCACACTAGATTTCTATTTAGCATGAAAAAAAGAATATACAATATGTATCAATATATTTTTATGGATGATTACATGTTGAAAATGCATTAGATACTTTGGGTTAAATAAAAAATGCAATTAAAATTAATTTCACCCATTTCCTTTTATCTCTTTGAATATGACTACTAGAAAACTGAAAAGGACATGCATGGTTCACATTTGTCCCTCACATTTTTATTGGATACTGCTGATTTAGAGTCCCCCCATCTGGGCGTGGTGGCATGTACCTGTAATCCCAGCTACTCAAGAGGCTGAAGCGGGAGGATCGCTTGAGCCCAGGAGTTTGAGACCAGCCTGGGCAACATAGTGTGGCCACATCTCTAATAATAATAATGATAATAAGAATCCCCCCATATAGCCATCAACTGATGCATTGTCCCAGGATAGAGGAGCCACTGTTTAAATGGGCCCAGGTTGGGTGAGTTGTGTGGGTACAGAGAGAAGAGGAGGGAAACAGGCCAGATGAGGTAAAGACAAGGAGGCAGTGTTCAACAGTTTTAGGGGTGAGTATGATCACTGAGAAGCTCTCAGACAGACAATGGGCAGACTCCCAATGTAACAGGAAAGGCACTGTCCCCTTTCCTTGGTTCAGATTATCAGTCTACATCCAGATCAAACCCTAGAACATCAGACTTGAAAAAAAGTGTTTAGAAACTCATTCACCCCTACTCCCCCATGTTCCTTTTTACAGCTGAGGAACCAGAAACCCAGAGAGGAAAAATAAAAAATAAAAAATAAATTGGGAAAAGGTCACAGAGCTTCCTTCAAAAACTCTAAATTTGCAAATACCCCAAAATCTGACCTTCCACATAGCTGCCAAGCTTGACCTTGGTATACATAAGGTGTATGTATGAACATGAGGAAAAAACACAGCTGGCAGGTATTACTATAGATCAGTGGTTCTCACTCAGGGATGACTGTGTCCGCTAGGGGACGTTTGGCAATGTGGACACATTTTTGGTTGTCACACGGTGGCAGGGGGGAGGGGGGGTTCAGGTGTTAATGGCATCTAATTGACAGAAGTCAGGAATGTGATTAAACATTCTATAATGCACAGAACAGGACATTTTCTCCTCCCAACAAAAATTATGCAGCCCAAAATGTCAGTAGTGCCAAAGTTGAGAAGTTCTGCCACAGACAGCATAGCAATTCATCCATGGGTGGGGGGGCGGTTGGTATTACTGGTCTCTGCTAAGCCTTTCATTAGACAGGTGTGGCATATTGGGTGTTCCTGTAAGCACAGAACAGATTGCTGAGAGACAGAGGAAGTCGAGAAAAGTCATTTTCAAGAAGTGGCTCTGTTTCAAGAGAAAGGGGCACTGCCTGAGCCTACTCTTCCTTGATCCCAGCTTTCCTGCTTACCCCCACAGGGTCAAATTCAACTTGGCCACCATGTCATAGTCCATGAAGTGAGATAATCATTCTAAAATGCCCTGGTGCCCCAACCAAACTAATTTGGAAAGTCTCCATGAAAATGCAAAGTGTTCCTAAAATCTGCATCTTCTTAATTGCTTCTGAGCAAAATCAGCTCTGATCCCTAAAGAACTGGGTCCAGCTATGTGGCAAGAGTTTGTGAAAAACAAAGCTCTTGGGGTGGGGCTTGGCCCAGAAAATCAAGGTTTGTGGCTAGAAGGGACCTTAAAGGCTGTCTATTTCAATTCAGAGAATAAACTGAGGCCCAGACAAAAGTCATGAAGTACACAGAAAGTTCCTTGATATCAATTTCTACTGTCAATTAACTGAACACAGAGCTACCTTCTGTGGGGAATTAACAGGATCTAGCTCCGAGGATTGACATATTTTCTGAAGCCACCCACATCTCCCAACAGAACCCATTATTCTGAAATTGTCACTTCTTATCTTGTATCTTTTACAAGTCACTAGTTTAGTGGATAATTGCCAATCTGACCCTTAAAAAAAACAAACACGTTTTTATCAGCTTATCTCTCAATGTCTTTCTATCTGCTCTGAGGTCTTTCCCTCAGGATGTCTTGGCTTTTTGAGGCTGGAGCACTTTTGCTGATCAAGTGTTTCTCCGTTCAAATTCTGCTTCTGTAGAATGAGAGAGGAGTCGATTAGGCCTGATTCTGCATCTGATTTCCAGGGGAAAACCCAGACTCTGCCCTGGGGAGCAAACTGAATCCTGAACTTGAGGGCACAGGGCAAATGTGAGGAGCAGAGAGCAGGAGTGAGAGGGAGGCCTGTGGTCACTCCATATATGTACACAAGAGGGCAATTTCTCCAAGGTCAGGGGACAGAGAGTGGGGGACGGAGAGCACAGGGATCTAGCGCCTACGGCGAGGCCCCCAGAGGAGTCCAGAGAGTGGGGGCTCAATACTAGCGGGTGGGAGCGCTAAGGATGGGACCTAAGGGATCAGGCATAGCTGCAGCAGGCAGAGAGGCCCTGCAAGAACGGGGACAGGCGGAGGTCAGACAGGCTGGAGCAGAGACTTCTTTGGGGGAAGGGCAGTCGGGGAGGCCTCCTTGGGGAAGAAGGTTGTCAGGAGGCTCCTGCTGACGGCGCGGCTCCAGGACCCCTCCTCACCTGGGGCCCTGCCGCCGCGCTCTCA